GTACTGAAGGAGCCCGTACTGGGGCTCATCGTCGGCGGGTTGACCGTGTTGGGGGCCGTACGATCACGGGTTGCACCGTTTGCACAATAACAGACTGTTGTTGGCGCCGTTTATCGGCGGCCGAGGCACAGCAGCACCTGCACGCAATTGATAGCGAGATTGCGTCTGCGTGCCCTGCGTAATTGTTTCGAGTTGCACAGCCTTGCCATCGTCCGTCTGGCATGTCCAAGCCCGCCGACGTGAATTTTTCTCGAAGCTGTGCGTTGGACCCGACAAAAGCCAACGCGCAATGAAGAAGATCGTGAGTTGTATTGCTTCTCCATTGTCTTATAAGGGGGCGCGTCGCATGGGAAGCGTCGATACTCGCTCAGGACACAAGTGCTTCCAACGGAGGAACGACATAATTGTTGTGTGATTTATTTTTGGGCATCCAACGACGCCGCCCCCGAAATAATTTCGATCAACTCGGTCGTAATGCGCGTTTGGCGAGCCTTGTTGTACACGGTGCGGAGGCTGCCGATGAGGTCGGACGCGTTCCCGGACGCGTTTTCCATGGCCGTCATGCGGGCCGATTCTTCCGACGTACTGGATTCCAACATGCCGTGGAAGATGGCGGTCGCAAGCTGGAATTCCTTCAAGTCGGCCAGCAATTCTTCCTTGTTGTCCGGTTCGAGTTCGTACTTGTCGTAGATTTCCTTGGACACATCCACCGAGCGGACCGATTGTTGGTACGCAATGGCCGACACAAACTTGTTGAAGATCACGTGCATCTTTTCATCGTCCTTGACACCGGCCAACGCGGCTTCAGCCAACGCACAGGCCTTGGCGAAGTTGGGGGGCGAGATCCAGGCTTCGGTGACGTTGCCAGTGATGGAAGGCGAGTGGGTGCGGCGCAATTGCGCGCGGCCCTTTTCACCGATCAAGAACAGCTTCGAGTTATCCAAGTTGTCTTTGAGTTGGTTGCGGGTCGCCTTGGCGATAAACGAGTTACAACCACCGCACAAGCCACGGTCGGACGTGATAGGGATGAAAGTGTTGGAGCCTTCCAACTCTTCCTTGGGGATGTAGCCTTCCTTTTCGTAGATACGAATGCCGCCATCGATGTTTTCCAAAAAGGTCTGTGCGGAAAAACCATGCGATGACTTTCAACGACGTGGCGCGAGTCGGTACGTACGGCGAAGGGGCGGCCATCCGCAAGGCGACGTTCGGCACCACGCATCTTGGCAGCAGACACCATCTTCATCGACTTGGTGATCTTGGCAATGTTGGACGTCGCGTTAATGCGCATCAAAACTACAGACACACGCATGAGACGGTTGGGTTCCCCTGTCTGGTCCTGCCCAAGAAATCCACATACTTTGCTTTTCGGTGGCCATGCCACGGGCACCGGCGACCCTATTCACAACGCACACTTCCACGTGAGCCAAAGTTACACATTCCATACTGCTTTTGGGTGTCCGCACATCGATGCACTTACTTGATGGCGGCCACTTGGCGAGGAATCATCGACATGGCGGCTGTCCAGAGTAAAATACGCAAGTGTTCCCCACCGCTCAGTCAGTAAGTGGTTCCGGGAGGGTACCCTCTCGGCAGGATTCGATTGGCTAAAAATCGAATTTAAATGATATAAGGGCTGTCAATTGGTCAAAATTTGATTTGCCGAGGCAGTCAGTCCGAACGTCGTACGTACGTACATTTCAACACCCTGTTTGTTTGCAAGCCTGACGTTACCGTACGTACTCTGCATTTGCTACAAATTCGAGGTCCGACAAATGTACAATGTACGTTGTACGAGGGGTTGGTATCTTTTGTTCGTTTCACCTTTCAAGTTCTCTGTGATCTTCCACCACATCAAACGCACATCGACCGCGGGAAAGCAGCGTCCATGGGCAATGTGCATGCGCAGGTAGGGCGGGTCGGAACCGTGGGGCGTCACGAGTACGAGGTGGTCAAGTACCTGGGCGAAGGCGGGTCATCCTTTATCTTCCTGGTAAAGGACACTGCTTCGTCGCAGTCGTTCGTGTTGAAGCGACTCGTTGCCAACGATGCGGTACGTGTCGTCGAGGGTGTTGACGACGACGGCGAGACTTTCATGGCTAGATGAGCATGGAGCTGATCACAAACGAAATCGAGTTCCATCGGCGGTTCAAGTACCCATCGATTGTCGAGTTTGTCGACCATCAAGTGAACAAAAGCCGTAACGAAAGCGAGGTGTTCATCATCATGGAGTTCTGTCCTGGCGGACACTTGTACGACAACATGAAGAAGATGGGCGAAAAACGCTTCTCCCTGGAAGAGCTCGCCAAAACTTTCCGCGCCCTCTGTGTGTACGTGCGAGCATTTCATTCCCCTCTCGATCCCGCAGCACGTGCGCGATGACATCTCATGGAGTGCGAGGTAGGCCGGTGCAGTACCTCCACCGACAAGAACCACCCGTAGCGCACCGTGATATCAAGCTAGAAAACTTTCTACGGTCCAAATCCGGCGCGTACAAGCTGTGTGATTTTGGGTCGTGTGTCGATGGGCCGCGCCACCTGACCACGAAGGTATCGACTCCACTCCATCGTAGCACCTGCCTCCACACATCCTCGTCTTCGTCTTTCACTTAACTTGCACCCACAGGAAGACCGTCGAACGGAGATCGACATGGTTGAGAAGCGCACGACAGCAATGTACCGCAGTCCAGAACTAGCCGACATCGAAGGCACAGCCATGTTTGGGAATGGCGTGTTGACTGAAGCCGTCGACATTTGGGTTCGTTGCGCACCCCATTCTCTCGTTGATCCTGATCGAATCGCAGGCCTTGGGATGCGTGTTGTACACGATGGCGTTTTTTAAACCGCCCTTTCCCCCCGAAGGGCTCCGCACATCCAAGTTCACGATTCCTTCCGGTCATGGCTACGGCAAGGACGTGCCGGAGCTCATCAAGCGCATGCTATGCGAAGATGTCGAGGAGCGCGCAAACATCGACGAGGTCCTCGCTTGCTGCGACGCGATTCTGGCCTCCCAGCCATTGCCGAAACGCGGCAGTGTGGCCAAATCGACGTCGCGACCTGGTTCAGGTAGCACTTCTCGCACCAACTCGGCCGACAAGACGACTTTGGCGACTCACGTCGACAACTCGGCGCCGGTCATCGACCTGTTGGCTGCGGTGCCTGCGCCCATCGCCCCCTTCGCAAACGGAGACAATGGCGGCGGCTTTGCCGACTTTGCCGACTTTGACAAGTGTTCGGTGTCGACCCCGACGTCGTTTGATCGGTTCGCGCCGCCAGCGGCTCCAGTGGGAGCGGCGGGGAAGAATCCCAGCAAAGTTATCGACTCGTTTGGGTTCCTCGTGAGCCCGACAAGCGCTGGAGGGAAGCACACGGAAGCCCGGGACGTGTTTCAAGCGTTTGACGATTGCACCCCAAAACCCCCGTCGTGGGTACCGACCGGGGGGGGATTTCCGCAGGGAGACTATCAGCAAGGCGGGAGGTTCCCCCAGGGACCGTTCAACGCTGGGGGCTTTCCCGTCCAACAAGGTGCCAACCACGGCTACGTCCAACACGGCAGCTACCACCCGCTGGGTGGTGCCTTTCCTCCGCAGGGAAATTTCCCGCAAGCGGGGTTCCAAGGGTACCCTGGCAACGGCGGGGGCGCATATCCTCCAGGACATGCCGGTGGCTCGTTTCCGCTGTCCCCGATGGGGCTGCACAATCTGCAGAGCCCGCCGGCAGCCGCGGAATCGAATGGCAACTGGAAAAGCTCGTACGAGTTCAAATTCTAACGACGTCATCACAGTGCATGACCTGCTTCTGTCGTCACTACAATTCATCGTGCGCTGCTGGAGACTGGTCCTGGCCACACACGATGGGCGTCGTGAGGACCGCCGTGTACACGCACGTGCTGGGCTCTTCGATGGATCCGAGCGCCGTAGTTTCGCCACACACGAGGGACACCTGGAAGGACCGCTCGGGTCCATTCCAGCACTTGGTGCCGCCCGCGAATTTGAGCGTCGTCAGCGGCGTTTCCACGGGTTGCATGGACCTACCATGGCACATCCCGACGTGAACTGGTGATGCGTCGGGAAGGCATGGCGTACCCGAGGGAAATGTGGTCCTGCGTCGCTTGGCCAAAATAACACATTTTGTACTTGTACTGGCCAGACGTGGCTTCGACGCAGGTGTCGCGGAGGCTGTAGAGCACGTCATCTGGGCCGTACACGCCTTGGAGGGTCGCGTCGAGAGTCGACAGCTCCGAGTCGACTTGGTTCTCCTTGGATTCGGCAGCAGACAGCGCTTGTCGAGCAGCGACGGCCTCTGTGAACCATGATCCGAGGTTGGGTAAGCAGATCAAGCCATCACAACACGTCGTCGAAAGCTGCCACTCGCTCCAACAGACCCTCCAACGTATCCAGCCTCGATTTCATGGCAGCCATCCAACGACACAGCCAAGACGTTCGAGCAATGCACGCAGACTCGAATCTCGAGCGCGAAAAATAAAACATGGAGAGCACTGACCTGGCCGGAAGTTCGACGCTTGGTCCGCTGTGAGTTCGGCAAAGAGCGTCATAATCGGTCGATCGGGCTTGGTTGGGAGCGGCGCCGGTTCATACTTGGACTCGTCAATCTCGACAACGGACACGCTGTCGGCGTCGCCATCGGCAGCCGCTGCTTCCTTGGCGGCCGCCTTGGCGGCTTCTTTCGCCTTGTCCAGCTCTGCGTTCAGCGCCATGATGCGCGCGACTTCTTTGCGATGGGCTTCTTCCGTGAGCAAGTACGCCTGTTCCTGCTGCTCGATGACAGACTGATCGTTTGTTTGAATGCCGCGGATCACATCCAAGATGTCGGTTTTCGAGTAAATTTTGTTGGTCAAGTCCAGCACCTACACGACCACCATCACGCGCACGGACGATTGCCTGGATGCAACGGTGGCGTCTCCATGAATGTGACGTACCAACTCGACAAGTTGGCCGGACGTCATGTCCAGGAGCCCCAGATGCGACGCGACTTTCTTACGAGTTGCTTGGGCCGCTTCCTTTTGCGCTTGCACTTCCAACACCTCCTCGGCAATCTTGGTGGCCCGCGCTGCCTCGACCGTCTTGGTCAACAATGCCTTTTCGACTTCCAAATCCGTGCGTCGGCGGAAATGCTCCTCTCTCTTGAGCTTGGATGCCGCCACAACCTCGGCACGTGCATTGCGACCGGCTGCACGAACCGCCTCTGCCGCTTCCTCCTTCTTGTCGTGCTCGGCGCGCAGAGTGGCGCATGTATTCGGGCACGACGTAGTCGCTTTGTACTCGTCGCTTCCGTCACAGCAATCTACGCCGTTCGAATGAACGAATCAAACAAGGGAGATTCGTACCGCAGAGGCCATCGTTGACGCGAGATGTCGGCAAGTCCATCGAAAAGAACCCCGAGTTGACGCAGTGAAACTGGACCGCCGTGTGCGAGCATGCAGCTGTGCCTGGCTCGTCCGAACCGTCGATGCAATCACAGTACTCGTCGTTGACGCTGCGAATGGGAATTGTTTTCGTTCCGCTGTCGCATGTCAGCTAATCCATGAAGATGACGCGACCGTCGTGCCTGTACACACGTGGTGCACTTACCGACGACGCAGAGGCAACTTGAGCACGGATTTCTGGCTTCAAGCCATACAAGATACGATCCTCAGCGGCAGAGCATTCCAGGGCCAACAGTGTCGCGGCAGCGGCGGCGTAGACCGTTCGGACCTTCATTGCGATTTGCGGCTGGGGAACTTTACACTTGGCACGTTGTGGAGGCGTCTCGGGCCAAATAAAATACCTCTGGCTTGAAATACAATTCGCATTCCTGGCAAATAGTCCATAACGATGACAGGGATACGAGGCATTTTAAAACTGGTTTCACTTGGATTTTAATGACATGGTTCACCATTCTCAAACGTATCCTCAAATCCGCACCTATTTGGTCGTTGTCGAGATAAACGCACCGAATTTTCACCGGTCAAGAACACTTAAATGAAGGGACCTGAGAAAGGTGCTTGTTCAGGGCGCTGACACAAGCGTTTGACTGCTGCCGCCATGATCCGGGCTAAGGTGCTGCCGACGGTGCTCAGCCAGATTCTGGGCGATGGCATCACGGCGACGTTCTTGATGACGTCAGAAGGAGCACTTCTGGGTTCGGTTGGGTCTATGGACATCGAAGTGTCATCGTTGCCTGTCGTGGACAACAAGGTCGTCGGCGCAATCGTATCCAACGTGTGGGGTGAATACGCAGAATCGGCCAAGGAGATCTTCACTGACGAGGCCCTGCAGGTGCTGTTCCTGCACTTTGACAAGGGCAAGTCTCTCTCGATCGCATCCGCGGGGACGGGGTACCTCGTATGCGCGTACTCGGACGGAACAGCGCCGATTGGATTGGTCAAGGCACGATTGCAGGCGCTGCAGCCATTCCTGAAAGACGCGTTGCAACAAATTCAACTCTAATTCCTTTCTCTTCCACTAAATCAGTCTTGGAATCATCTTCGTCTGGGTGTACGACATTATCCTCAAGCGAGTCGACGGCAGTCCTCCCTGTGGTAACTCGTGACCTTCCTTTGGTCAGAAGCGCTCCTTGTTCGTTCGAGATTCCGTTCGCTGGCACATCATGCGCTCGACGGGACCAGCACCAAGTTGCCACACTTGGCAGTGGTTGTAGCATGGGCTCCATTACCTTGCTGCATGGAGACACAAAGTCAGACCCGAGCAGCGTGTAGCATGGACTCTCTCCAGGAATGGATTCCATGCGCCATGACGAGAACACAAATGGTCGTCGCAGGGATAGCGCCACCAAATTTTCTGGGAGGGTGGTTGTTGGTTTCAATCCGGCGAACACACCGTGTCCGTCGCCGCACGCCATGGCCGCACAAAACGACGCCATGGCAAGCAAAGTCCATGGGAGTTCAATGGTGGCGAGATGTTTACATCGGGCAGTCCCTGCAACACGATCATCGATCCAATGCCCCACTGCCAAAGCTGCGCAAGACATGGATGGGTTTCCTCGATGCCCTGCCTTCGACAAAGTCATACGCGTGGATCTCGTTGCTCCTCATACACACAACGTAGATGACACGATCTCCCGATCAAGCAGGGTCCACATATTTGGACAGTTTGATTGTACCGACTTTGAAACGACAAGCGACATGTCGTCTAATTTGGGACCGGGGCTAGTGTCGTGCATTTCAACTAAC